TTTTTTTTACTATTAAAAGTGTTTAAACGTTTTACTGTTTTTTAGCAGCAGTTATAATTTATTTTACTACTATTTAATTTCTCAATAAATAATGATTTTAAGTCTAATTAAGATTTTTATTCTTTTTTTCTTTTGTTTTCGTTTTTCCTTACGCTTTAAGGCTGCTGATAACGTTTTAGCGTTTACAGTAATACTATTCATCTAATGAAGCTCTCTTTTCAGAGTTTTAATGGCCTTACATCAGAAAATTTTATTGTGCACTAACTTGTCCAAAAGTATACTGTATAACTGCACAAGATCTGCGGCTCATTTTAAGTATTATCCTACTAAAAATGATCCTGCATTAGGTAACTTTGCATTCGGAAATAAATTCTTTGAACTTCTCCACTATCGCTATTGAAGATTTAACATCTGAATCGGTGTACCACTTAAAGTCGTTATTTACGCCCAAATTCATGTTTATTCAAGTGAAGTGTGAATGAGCCTTTGAGTATACTGTAAAGTTTGTTTTTATTTGTATGTTTTATATTGTTTTGCAAAATTACCTCTTCATTAGTCTCACCATCAGAACAAGTTTTTAATTGTGCAGTATGAACTTTCTTGTCAATTATTTTATTTTAATATAATGCAGGTGAAACCAAGACTATGAACCTATGTCAGACGCTCAATAACGCAATGGATATAGCTATGGAGAAAGATCCAACGGCTTGTGTATTAGGCGAAGATGTCGCGTTTGGTGGCGTGTTTAGATGTACAGTTGGGCTTAGAGATAAATACGGTGACATATGCATTTTTTAATGATATTCTCATACCGCCTTAGGAAGACGGTTTATAGGACACCAAAGGTCTGAGAATCTTTCATTTGAGAACGCAATTATTTAAAATAAAGCACCGTTTTAGAAATTTTGTTAGAAAGGTCTAGTTTCTACAGTTTTGTCCATTTTTTTAGTAAATGTTTTGACCTACAGTTCAGTTTTTTGAAGTTGTTTTTTTCTTTTTTCTTTTGAAGCACAACATAAAGGAACTTTGTATTATTGTGCTTGTTTAACTTTCGTTTTATATAGCTTCTAACGCTTAATTTAAAGCTGATCGTTTAGGTGCGGATCGTGTATTTAACACTCCGTTATGTGAACAAGGAATTGCGGGGTTTGGTATCGGTTTGGCAGTTGCCGGAGCGACAGCAATAGCTGAAATTCAGTTTGGTGATTACATTTTTCCAGCGTTTGATCAAGTAAGTTTCCATATTACGCGAAAGTCGCTTTGAATTATTTATTCCAATTTATATGTGTGTCATGCTGTTACGGCTTCTTTTGTTATGTTACCTTACACTTTAAGTTCGTTAATGAAGCGGCAAAATATCGTTATCGAAGCGGGAATATGTTCAACTGTGGGAAAGTGACGTTTCGTACTGCCTGTGGAGCTGTCGGCCATGGAGGATTGTATCATTCCCAAAGCCCCGAAGGCTATTTTGCACATGCATCAGGCCTCAGGGTCAGTATCCCCAGCAACCGCTTACATAGTTTTATGCGGAAGTTTCTCGCTGGTTAATTGTAAAGTTTCTTTATCTTGCAGATTGTCTATCCTCGAGGTCCTATAATGGCTAAAGGTCTCTTACTTTCTTGTGTCAGAGACGATAATCCATGTCTGTTCTTGGAACCAAAGGTTTTATATCGTTTGGGATCAGAAGAGGTGCCAGTTGCTGATTACACTATACCTTTATCAAAAGCAGAAGTCGTCAGAGAAGGTTTTTTATTTGACTTGCTTTTTGAATTTTTCTTTTATATTTGTCTTTCTTTTTGTATAGTGTTACTTTTTATTTAAGAGGTGTGTTACAATCATGCTTAGAATGCTTTCCGACAAATACGTGTATAGTTAGGTAGTTGTAACAGTTACATTTGAAAACTGATTTTTCAAATGTCATGTTGTTGCTACTCAGGATGATTATGAGAGATCTCATCATTTGAGGTAAAGAAATTATTTTACTTCTGCAATTTCTTCTTTATTTGTGTGAGTGTGAGAAGCTGCTCGAATAGAGTTAAAATATTAATCTTATCGTGTTTTAGGAAACTCAATAATCTGATACATACGTACCATGCAGTACCTCATTTATGGCATTCTCTGCATATGTCTTTCATTGTTAAACTGTTTTAGGGAAAGATTTGACAATGGTTGCTTGGGGAACACAGGTTCATGTTCTTTTAGAAGCAGCTGAAATGGCCAAAGAAAAGTTAGGTGTGGAATGCGAGGTTATAGACTTAAGAACGATTCTTCCATGGGACATTGATACAGTTGCTACGGTACTATATTTGTTTTAGCTTACACTTTTTTTCTTTTTCAGGATTATATTCAGAGTAAACTCATAGATACTCACTAAAATCGTCTATTCACTGATTTTTAGAGTGTGTGTAAAACCGGAAAATTGATTGTTTCGCATGAAGCTCCTCAGACTCAAGGGTTTGGAGGCGAGATTTCATCAACTATCCAGGTTAGGTAGCGGCAATCGAATTTTATTATAGACTTTATAATTTTTTTCATCTTTTACTTTAATTTTAAAAGCTTTCTTCTTTATTTTTTATTTGTATTCTCAAACTATTATAGTCTAACGTTAAAAAACCATTTCTCTCAACATTTATGTTGCTGTTTAAAATGACAGTGTTTTTTTTTTGTTCTTTCACAAAATAATGTCATTTAAATTTATTTTAGGAACAGTGTTTCTTAAATTTAGAGGCTCCTATTACACGTATTTGCGGTTGGGACACACCATTTCCACATGTTTATGAGCCGTTTTATATCCCTTCAAAATGGAGAGTTTTTGATGCAATTAAAAAACTTTCTCATTATTAACCATATTAATGTTTTGTTAAGGAGTAATTAATTAATTTAGGTACTTACATTTTTTTATGATACTGCTTTTTGGTCTTTATTTATTTATTACTGTTATTATTTTATTATTTGTTTGTATCCAGATGTTTGCTCAAGAACTACTTGCCGCTTATAATGCAGTATTGAGGAGCGGCACTGAAAACCCATAAGTGATACTGAAATACTGAGGACCGAAAAAACTGTGCACTAATATTCTTCTCTCAAGTCATTTATTCAATAACTCTATAGCTAAATGAGTTTAGGGCCATTTATAAAGCTTTCAAATTCCGGCATTTTTTTTTTAATATTTACTTATAACTATAAAGCACCGTCTGTTTTCTTTTCTAACGCCTAAGGCTTCTAAGTTAAAAATTTCTAAGTATTTATTGGTCTTGTTGGAAGTTCACGATCATTATTGGTTTCTGGTAATGCATTGCAAAGATAAGTATTCCAATTGTTGCTTAATACGTTCTTAAGACACTAATAAGACAAATTTGTTATTGTTGTTTATAGGGTATTGAAACCAAAAATTAATCTACTCTGTAACTTTTTTCTTACTATTGTTTCAGGAAAGAAAAAAGGACACTGTCTCTTTAAATGTATTGTTCAGTTGCTGTAATAAATGTAAGTATACTTGTTTATATGGTTAGATTACTTGAGGGCAGATGACGGCACTGCTGTTGGGAGAAATAACGTCATGGGTTTTAAGCGTGTTTAAAAGCAGATGTTCTCAGAATTACTTTTGGGTACTTCCATTGACTTGTGGCATAATGCTGGACGGAGCCTTTTTTATTTTGGTTGAAACTGACGTGATGTTTACAATACGATTCGCTGCCACACATCATTGTAAATAACTTGGCTCGATGTTGGGAGTGGCTATATTTTTTATTTTTTTCTGTTTTATAGGGCGCTTTAAAATAACTAGATTGTGGCAGGGGCGGGAGTTCTTGAAGAAAGATCTGCGGCGCTCATGACGTTTGCGTGATCTTTATTATGGGTGTGCTTTTCCACGTGCATTATATGACTATTCTTATTCCAGGCGAGGAGTGCTTTTGAGGCGTTTTTTGCATGAAACATTGGTCTACATGGCAGTGTTAGGTGGACTTAATCTTGTTGATTAAGTTAGCCTAACACGTCAGTTTTCTTTCTTTTGATTCTCGTCATCAAAATGGCGAGTTCTGTGGTTGCAAAAAATAACAGAATTGGTCGTTAGAGCAGATTGTTTGATATTTTTATATATAGTTCCGAAGGTCGTACTGCCATTCTGATGTCAGAGTTTAATGCAGCCAGTATGTTGGCAAAAGGAATAGTTCATCAAGCTGAATAAAAAAATTTCCGCTTAGCATTTGCGACTATATGAGAAGAAGAAAAATTGAAAATCAATGTGCAATCTTTTCTCACGACTTCACTCATCGTCACATACATAATCGGAAAAAACTTCGATGACGATTAGTAAAAACTGTTTCTGGCTTCTCTTTTTTTCCTTGACCATTCAATTTTAGTCTTGTAGCCTGTTTTGGAATATGTGTGAGACAAGATAATCTCTATTTGTAAAGAGGGCTCTAGTTTCTGTAGGTCAGACAGAAGCGAAAAAAAAAGGGAGAGAAAGAAAAATACTGTTCGAAAAAAAGTGAAAGAAAGCATTGTAAATAATGGATCAGTTTTTAGTTGCAAAGAACAAGGGTATTCTAAGAAGGGACACTAAAAAGAAATCTTCATTCAAATAGTTTGTTGACTGCTAAGTGAACAGGTTGATGGGATGTTTGGCTCAATTGTGGTGTCAATCACAGTGCCTGGTAGTAACTTGGAAATGTCAAATCTCTGGATTCTAGGTTTTTGAACGGTTTCGTGTCGTTGGTTTAGTTGGTTTTTGTAAGTACACATGAGTCACTTTAATCGGAAAAGAATCAGAAAAATTTTGCCAATCTGCCTTTGTAAGGAAACCATCTTATCAAATTGACGGTAGCAACAGAAAAAAAAAAAAGAATTAGGGCTTCATCTGACATGGTGGTGGACATTTTTTTATGGCTAATGAGGAGAGGTAAGACGTAATTACTATCCATTATAAGCCAAACAAAATTATTTGAGTTTTTTCTCCTAATATCACAACCGATACCAATTAAACGTTTGTCAGTTTACTTTTTTTTAAGCGTCAAGGTTGAAGGTTTCTAATGATGCCGAAGCAGTTTAAAATGTTTCAAGCTGGCACCATCTGTCTGCAAAATCACTGATGCCTTGTTGTTTTCCTAATAGTCAAACAAGCACCTTAGTGAGCCACTTTTTTTCTTTAACAGCAGTTTCACTTTTTTTCCAATCGCTTTGAATAACGAGTTTTTTCCTTTTGTTCTTTTTTCTTGGTGGGACTTCAGACAACCGCAGTGACGTTGTTGCCCTGTTCCTTGCAACCGGAGGCTAGTCAAAAGGCACCCAAAAAAGTTTTTTCAAATTATCCTAACTATACACATGACTACAGCATTGTCATTTGCATAGGATTTGAATAATATTTATAAAACTGTCGTTGTATTGGCACAAAACTAGGCTCTTGATTGAAAAATTTGTGGCTGAATAAATAGATAAATGGATCACCAAAGTTGTTAACATCTTTAATCCTCATTTACACACACAGTTAGGCGTTAAGCCAAATCAAATGGATATCTGAGTTTCAGTAGTTTGATGTTGCAATGAATGTTTTCTTTGGTACCTTTCTTAAGTGTCAGTTTTGTTCAAATGAAATGAAGGGCAGCTTGTACTCTTCTACCACAACTGCTTTTTTAAGACCAGAACTTTTTTTTCTCGATTAGTTGCTGCAACGTAAATGGGTAGGTGTGCGCTGTTTTAACGATGACAACTTCTTCAATTGATTTTCAACGCAGTAACAGTGTCCAACAGAACTGACAAACTGATAAAGCTGAATGTGCATTATATTTGCTTAACGAAAGTTGCAAGAATTATTTAGAGAAAAGAAAGTAGAAAAGAAAAAGGAAATCTAATCAACATTTTGTTGATGTCATTTTTTCCCCCAACTACTTCCAAATGCTTTTATAATTCAGCAAATTTGCAAGTTAAAAGAAAAGAAAAAAAAATTTCTTCTAATTTTTATTTCGAAAATCAAGCGATAAAGCAAAACTAAAGAAGAAAAGAAAAAGGAAGAAAAGAAACAAACGTTCATAAAGATCACTTTAGCTGATGGCAGTGAAAAAGTAGTTAATTAAAAAAGAACGAAGCTACTAAGGGGAATATATTTCCAGTTAATGAGATCTTTTTTCCTCTGCCCGACTGCTGTCATTACTACAGCTGCTGTTCCCCTTTTTCTGCTTTCTTTTTTCGGTGCACTCATTCGCCAGTAATTAACCACCGATCCCAGCAAATTTCTATATCCCTGTGATGTTGTTGACACCATTGTTATCGCCGTTGTTACTCCTCGACTTGCCATGTAAGTAATGCGCAAAGTCAAACGCTGTTTTTAGAACGACTTTTTGCACTCAATGTTGACTATCTTGTCAGGATGACGTCATTTGAGGCAAAACTTGCTTTCATCAATGACGTCATCGAGAATTGTGCATTTACATATATCCGAATGCACTTATCGACAATAGTGGGAAGTGTCTGAATGAGCTTCGCAGTTGAGGGGCTCAAGCATAGGATTTTTTTTAAGCTTTGCGGGACTCCGCGGAGATCTCTTATTTCGCTCTCTCTTATGCTCAATGGAACTGAACTACAAGGAAATTCAATCAACAACGAGTCATATGCCTCTTGTTTGGTTTTCAAGTGCAACATTCACAAGAGAAAAAAGAAAGGGGAAAACTGACGTAGCAAGTGCAATTCTATAATATAATGCTTTATTTTAGAGATCTAAAAGCACTTTTTACTCGCCTGATAATAGCCATCATCTAACCAAGCTAAAAATGATATTTCTGGATATGGTTATATTATTATTTTTGCTGCTGTTTATTCGTTGCTATTGCTGCAACTGCCGCTGTTGCCTCTTAACCACTCAGGCTTAATTTTCACTCATTTTACCACCTACGCATTTCCTTCACTTCCATCAGCATTATGTGCTTTCACATGTTACTTTTTTTTTTTTTCAGCCACTTTTTTCAATAACCCAAAAAGGTAATCAGTCATTTCAAATAAAAAAAAAAAAATTTAGGCACTAATTTGTTCTGCAATCATTTTTTATTTTCTTTTCTTCCTCATCTCCTCATTTCTGTTTATAACAACACACTCGTCTTTTTTTTTTTTCTTTTCAACTGAACTATAACAATTCATTTTAATTAGTATTTCTATCGGTTATCGGATCGTGCACATTGACAAAAATTTATAATATTATTAAAATGAAGGCAAAAAAGTGCTGCGTGTCTGATTGAGTTTTCACTGTATAACCGATACTTATAAATATATTGCAAATACAGACACAAACACACATATGGACATACAAAAGTTCACGTGAACAGACAACTGATATACCGTTGGGTATAAGGAATAATATCAAACGGATCTGTTGTCACCAACTGCGCTGTTGTTTAGGTTTAGCATTGACTTAAACAATTGATTCTGCTTTTATGAAGTAGTATTTCAGAGCAATAAAATTTCCATTTTTAAATACCATCAAACAAGATTCCTGTTGAAAACACCGGAATCATTAGTAACGGCAGCATCAACAAGCAGGCAACGGCAATAGCAACAAAAATACCGATTTATTATTGACTGACTGACTGATTGAATGATCAGTATTTGTATCAGATAGGCATTGATTAGTGGCCATAATTACTTAAAAAACAATTGCTTAAAACAACGGTGAAAATGAAAAAATAAATGAATAAATAAATAATTTAAGAACAAAAACAGAAAGTATTTTTTTTTTTTTTTTTTTTT